TGAACGAGCTCACGGCAACGAGATACTGTGTCCTTATGAAACGGAACAAGCTTCGAGAAGATGAGATAGAGGTGGGGGAGATGAAGACGCCGCCCACACAGTCCATCTCAAATGAGATTACTACCAAGAAATGGGCCGCTGGAGCAACATAGAGAGTCTTAGGAGCTCTGTATTACAAGTTCAGACCACGAAACTTGGCGCCTTTTCCACACATTGATCCCGATTCTTATACAGTCGTGCCTGTAAATCCCACCGCGTTCGGTTGAGGTTTCGCGTCTAAATCAAATCATCTAAATCATCTAAATCACAGCATTTCAGATGAATTTGAGTGCCATCATCATCCAAAGTTTTCTGTACTGTAATTGTAGCAGAAGTGTTTAGTGCTGGATGACTTGTACTACATTGGCGTTCATGTACGTCGCGGGATGGATATCGCGATGAACACCCGGAAACCTTCGACATGGTCATCGAGCTGCTCCTCCTGACTACTATAAAAGAGCAATGGAGATGGCCAGCAAAGGAAAAGAAAATGTAAGAAACGCTCGCCCTAAGTTAGTAAACCGTTTTCAGCCAGTTTTATAGCTTTCTCTCTGATAACCTGGTTGTTGAGTTACTAGGAAGTTATACCATAGAGACAACCGCAAGGTAAAATTCAACTTCAAAAGTGTTAGCGTATTCGCAAAATACGGAGGGCATAGCTTCTCCGTATGCCGCCAAATCCTGCTCTCACTGCGCGAAAGTTGCTGGTGCGACAGAATTGTCCAACAATTTTTGGGGTGTGACCAGGGTAAACGGTGCGTTGAGCAATTTTAACGAGGAGAGTCGTGTTTGAGGTTTCCCGGACGGAGGTCGTATTAGTACTGGTGAAGGTCAAGAGGTTGGAAAAAAAGAGGTCGTGTTTTCAGAAGTTGGAAGGGTCGTAGGGGAGGAAGACGGGGTTGACTTTTACGGCTTTTCTGACAGATGGAGATTTCAAAAAAAAATCCTTCGCTACTCGACGGCCGTTTTGGAAGGAAAAGTGGGCGGAGTTGGGCTGTGTCGATTGGTCTTCGAGAATCAAATTGTATAGGAGCCGTGGTGGTGAGGGTGTTGGTTGGGGATGGGGAAGGGAAGGTTATATTGCGGGGCTCCTCTAATTCTGATGGTGGTGATTAAGGATCGTATAAAGACCTCGTCCCCTAACGGAGGGGGCGGGGGCGTAAAATTTTGCCAAAGGAAAATCAGAAGAGACTTTAGCTCATTGTCCGCCAGCGTTTTACGATTACTAGCCCCGATTACCAACCAGAAATAAAGTGTTAATGATAAGCAAAATAAAATGTCTCAGGGTTTTGTATTTTCGAGTGTACCTAATTTCTGTTTTGATTTTTAGGGATGAGTGGCAACAAAATTGGAGGACCTTTCATTTTGAGCCCGATTACAATACATTTGCAATTTAATTACCATTTTTATAGAATAGAAATTGAAGAATTAGATTGGACAAAATTTCACCAAATTCCTTTGTTTCACCAAAAATCTCTTTGTTTTCTGACTGCTGCCTTTTTTGCAATCCATAGTGGTAATGTTGCTTTCTATGTCAAGGCTAGGACATTGTTTCAAATACAAGATTTCCAAAAGCAAAGGTGACATACATAGGCACGTGGCGTACCTCACGGAGCACACGGTGCGAGGACCAATTAGTGAGGACCAAATAAATTTTGCCCAGATTAACCAACCCTTACATTCCTTAGAGATCACAGATTCGCCTGAGAGGACAAAAATTCTGTCTTATACATCGACGGGCCTCTAAGTCGTTGT